CCCCCCCCCTCCTCAAACAAACAAAATAAACAAAAACAAACTTACAGCTGTGTTACAAACAAAACACATTCTTCAAGAACCGTGACACTCTGTCAGTGATTATGTGCAATTGTCTTGTTTACAACTGGGGTGAGAAAAGTAAACATTTATATCAAAATACCGAACACTTCAAAATAAAAGATTTTACATTGCAAAGGAGAAAAACATAATTTAAGCTTTGGGTTGAGAAAGGCTGGATCCCTTTTGGGAACCAAATAGGTCTTCTATGATTCTATAAAGAACAAAGACAATTAAATACGTCTGAATGGCAACGGAAACAAATCCAACAGGAATGTCATCAATCAGACACCATATAAGATTTCACTTGGACAACACTACATTTACCCTGACTGGAACTGCGAAGCATGAGTGCCGTAGATAGTTGTAATATTTATTTATTTAATTTGAAGCTGCAGTCAAAAGTTTTCACTTCAGTTGTTCATAAATGTGTCACAGTTAGGATACAGAAGTCGACAACAAAGACGCATTCCTGTGCTCGATGACAATCTTGTGCGTGCGTGTACAGCAGACAGCAAGAGGAAGTTGTACATGATTGTACACAGGTATTTGGTGCTGAACACGAGTACAGTAAGATATGTGAATGCAGCAGTGTCTTTATTTTCATTTAAGGAGGGCACGAAGGCAAACGTGATGAATGCTGCTGATGTTCTGATGTGGTTCTGAGGTGCAGCAAGGGTGTTAAGGCTTTGGAGATGTCATATTGTACAGTGAGGACAAACAACGGGAATAGTCTTCATTTATACAACATAAGAATTACCATAATAAATGTTATATGACTAACATTTACTTATAGTTCGTACATGATGTGGAACAAACTGTTTTTGTATGACATGATTGTGACCGCAAACGTAACGCACACGTTTAATTTACACTTTGCATCAACATCCAGCATCTTCTTTATGAACTTCGAAGCATAAAAGACAAAAAGTAACTGTAAATGTTTAACTGTAAGGCATTTGCACATTTCTAGTTTAATGAAATATTCCTAGGCTGCGTCTTCCCGTCTTTCAAGCTTCTACGAAGTTACGGTCACGTCATTCAAGCTGACTACTAAAATAAAGGAATGAGGCATTTTCAGATCAATGAAGTTCAAACTGTCCAGGAAATTTAACCGCCACGGCTGCAGACAGTCTATGACCTCCCTCACTGTGTGTGATATTTCAGCGCCGACGCACATCAAAAGAAAAAAAACAAAAACAAAAACTGAGGTAGGCGAGAAAACAATCAAATGCTTGACCATAATGTAGTCATTGTGTAAATAAGAACAAGAAGGAAAACGTGAAAGGCAGAGGGAAACAAAACAGTGTGAATGTGGGACTGATGTCAGTTTACTCAAAGTAAAGATGACCTTGCACTATTTGAGTTGGTTAAGAATGAGATCCATGCAGGCCTGCAGTCCCGCTGCAGCGCTGGTGACAGCATGCGTTACGCCTGTTACACTTTGCATATTTCGGTAGGCGCGGATTCCCACTGCCCTGACCTGTGAGTGTGCGTTCAGGGCTTTTCTTGCGGTGCCTTGAGGTGAAAGGGTGCAGAGACAAATGGGTCTACAGCGCTCACGTCTGAGGTCCACGAGTGCAGAGGTCCAGCGGGGACAGATGCTACAGCAGCCTGCTTGCTCGCGTTAGACGCCGCTCTGTGAGCTGCTGCTGGCTGCTGGGGCACAGGTCCTTCAAAGTGTCGGGAGTATTTGGCCAGAGCTTGAGGACGGAAAGGTTGCTGGGCAACCTGTTCTAAGACTCCTTGATCAGAGGTTACAGCGTGAGCTCCAGCTGCGTGGGGGTACGAGGTCTTCTCCTGTGCTCCTTTGGGCTCCTTTCTTTTTCCGAATGGAGCCTGAGAGAAAACGTCGAGCTGCTGCTGCTGCTGAGCCGCAAGGGGACCGCGTGGAAATGGAGCGTTGGCGAATACGTCACTTGTGTCTTCTTGCGCAATCAGAAAGGGGGCTTTGGAGAAGATATCTGCAGCGCCCTCCATCTCCTTTGCTGCCTCGTGTACATGCTGGAAGTGATTCTGGGCAAAGGTATTTGGAGCAGGTTGATCGAAGGTTGTAGCTGATTGTGCTGCTGCTGTGCCGGAGTGCAGAGATGGATGGAGAGCTAACTGAGGCCCTTGGTCTTCTTCATCCTCAGAGTCCTGCAGCAGAGGTCTAGAACCGCTGCAGTCATGGGGGGCTATGTGACTCTCAATGCCTTCACCGTCCTCTTGCTCGTCCTTGTGTGCTTCTTTTTCTTCGTCTTCATCGCTGGAGTGCACACAGCCCTCATTCTGTGGAGAATCTGCTCCTACAGCTTCAGTCTCTTGTCCCTCCTCAAGCACAGAGTAGCCATTACTCTCCCCTTGGAGATCTGTTCAAGCAAGCAAAGATAGAGGGGGAAAACAAATTGGAGGTAAACAAAAATGTTAGAATACAAATGAGAAGAAACTGCCATCTGTGGTCCAGCTGCCCATTTATCTACCAGATCCATCTCGCATAACCGATGGACTTTAAAATCTGTAAGTCACTGATTTTCGAGGATGACTAAACAATGAGAACCCATCACAAGACTACAACAATTCTACTCTGAACAGGTCACAGTCACAACACTACCAGTTCTACTAGTACGTCACCACATTAACCTTGTTTCCACGATTCTCAACTCAACCTTCACAAGTAACGCCCGGTGTTACAGGAAAACAGTGGCAGCAGTTTTGCTTTAGGTTAAAACTGAGTCAGTTGAGGAGGAGGGAACATGAGAAAGATCTGTGGAAACAAGGGGAAAGAGCCTTCACAGCAAAAGTGAAAAATAGTTAGCGACAGACAGACTGCACAGAAGACAGATCAGTCTTACCTCAGCAGTGTTGACAGCAGTTGTTAACGTGCAGCTCAGGGGGAAAGGTTAGTTGAAGCAATTAAAGGAAAAGACCAGCTCTTTCGGCTCTTGTTTTGTTTTACTTCTTGGGCGAGCTTTGCCTCCTCACTTGTGTTTTAAACCGTCCACGCCCTTTCCGTATGACTTAAGTGTGAATATGACACAGTTTGGAGCTGACAAAAATATCCCACAGTGTGACAGCTCACTTAAGTGTGTAGAAAAACAGCTTCTCATCTCTCACAATACAGCTCATAGTCTGTACAGTCAACTTGAGATATTACCTGATTAACAGACACACAATTTAGGAAGGCAAATTAGAAAAAGTGTGAGGAGGAATAAAGTTTTTAGGTTTCTGAAAACTGGTCTGATCACAACAACCACTCTATTTATGAACATTACACCGGGTGATATGAATAGGATTCATGACAATACCCCATTAGCCTTTTATGGCTAAGAGAACGCCAAGGGAACGACGAGTCTGATGAGCTCCATCAGTGATACTTCATTAACACTTTGATGATTATAGATAGTCTGTGTGCATTTCAACCCAAAGAGCACAGCAACACACGTAAAAGTCTGCAACCAGTGGCAGAGTGCTGCAGGATGCAGAATTATAGTGGACTGCAAAAATATGAACCGCAATATTAAATGGAAAGAAAATGGGATGTAGACATTTAAAGTGGTTAAGATCAGATGTAATACAACTCACAGCTGACACACAAGCCTTTCTTATGATTATTTAATGAACTATAGGAGACAGAGGTGAAAGGTATCCCAGTGTTATCAGGAAGTTAGTTCCGTCATTAGCTCTGTTAAATAAAATCTATTCAGGCATATACAGTAACTTACATGTACCAGTACTAGTGTATAACCTAACAGCTGCAATGGAGAGCAACACATACTATCCAGTCAAGCGATTCAAAAGCACTTAGTCTCATGTTTGTTTGGTGACTAAACCGTGAGCACTAGATAAATGTTTGACAAGAACTAAGAGAGAAGACAGAAGGACAGAGTCGACAGTTTTGCACTCTTAAATAAAGCCTCATACACAAATATGTTTTATCTATACATCCTTATACAATTTTTACATATTTTATAATGGTCCTCAGTTAATACATTCTTTCTAAAGCACTATCAATAATAGTCACTTTTAATCATAACATGATAAAATGTTACACACTAAAATCTACCTTTACCAATGCTGACAAGTGCAAAAAAAAAAAGAAAAGTGTTACTTTATGTATATTTACATTTCTCTTTCATCTGGACAGACTGTCACAACTGACTTTATGGTATATGGTAACAAAGGATTGGCCAGAGAAGATTGAGAGGATGTCAGTGGGAGAGGGAGGAAGGATATTTTCATGTAAAGTTCCTTCATTAACATAATACCTACACAAAATAATGACATTTACGTCACACTTCCCTCTCTGTGACGGTGGTATTCTGCTAAAAATCTGCTCATTTATACTGACCCTGAGAGCGGACCAACACAGAGGAAAAACAGCATGATAATAGAGTCTTGTTTAGCTTTGGCATCGGAACAGGTCAAATACCTTCATTCCCTTTTACTTCTGCTGTGCTTACCTCAACGATGGGTCACAGGTATGAGAATGAGCTGGCATTAGTGGTGTTGTAGATAATGCTGACAATGGTGGGAAGCTGTGCTGTGGCAATGGAGCCGAACTCACCAGCTGTATTCACACTGACCTCAGCAGTTTCAGGAAATGATTACAACTGACAGATTTACAGGTGTAGCATTAGAATACGCCAGACACGCTGCTTAACATCCAGAAAGAGGGGACAGTATACAGGTATGCTCAAGCCTGTGAAGCCACTTGGTCGGTTTACACCAGTGATTCCCAAAGTGTGGGCCACAAAGGTACTACAGGTGCCTGCAGTAATAACAGAAATTACGCTCAAGTATGTACAAGTATGTACATATTTAAATGTATTTATTTATATAAAAGTGAATTAACACTGGTGATCGGAGGTGGTGAGTTTGTGAAGTTTTTCATCACTCTGATCTAAATTTACGCTCTTGTTTTGAAGTCTGAGTCCCAGTGGCAGGTGGCCATGACACTTTGCATGTGATTGGGCAGCGTTAGCAATTTATAGCAAACAGCCTGTGCTGTTTATGCTTTTTTAAATAGAAATGTCAAGAAAAAACACACCACCCTCTCGTGTTTTGATTAGAGTGAAGATTTAACACTGGGTGGGGCCCGTGGGATTTTCTGGTTTTTAAGTGGGCTGCAGCACTCTTGACTTTGGGAATAGCTGGTTTAGACAAATAGATCTATAAAGGAATCATGGCACATGATGGCTTGAACAGATCTGACTTTCCATGACTATGCGCACTCCAACAGTGTGAGAAATCTTTAAAACCTATCCAAAACTGACACTTCTTCTTTTATATGTAAACTGGTTCAATCCGAACAGAAGCGCAGCTCCAGGTTGCATCTTTGTTTGGTCAGTAGTTCAAAGCTCTCATAGGAAAGTGCATCAAATTATCTACAGCACTCTACAGTCTTTAGTCAGACCCCTGACACATATAACCATGCTTAACATGTGCATACGATGATGGTCGACCATGGCCGTGCACTCTGTGAAGGATGTTAATGGGAGTAAGAAGAAAGCATGAGGAAGACCATGGTGTAGCCAAGACAGAAGCGGACGATATGCTCAGGCATTAATGAAAAGATTTTTACCAGTGTGGGAATGTCAGCGGCTAGCAGAGACATATGAAACCAGCTATCAGGCAACTAGAGATGGAGTTGAGGCCAAGGAGGCACATAAAGAGAATACTGGCTCCTCTTGGTTCATAAGGTGCTACATTAAGTGTCTCTGCGTGCCCATCTCTACCCCCCCAACCCTCCCCATATCCCTTTGTTAGGATTGCACACTGCCCCTTCGACCTCTCCCACCCCCTCTAGAGGTCGATGAGCTGATCCACCAGCAGAAGGGAGCGAGCCAAGTTGGGGATGCTGGACTCTGAACTGCCACTGTTGGTGCGCGAGTGACCACCTGGAACGTGCCAGAAAGAAAGAGAGATAGAGACAGAGATGGGCATGGAGGAGCCGAGGGAGAGTGTGAAAGACAAGCAAAAGAATAAGTCATTTTAACAGGGATTGCATGAAGAAATTAAAGAGTGTGAGGATGACCAGGATGAGGGGAGAGAGATGCATGAATAGGGGGTAGAAAGAGAAACAAGCAGAGAGTGAGCTGGGATAACTTTTATACAGCTGCATCATTACAGGGGGAGGGGGGAGTTAGGGAAAGCCATACTAACATGGGGAGACTTTCAAGATAAACTAAAAAGAGCCAAAACACCTGCAAGATGGCGAAGCACTGGGAGTTAAAAGATGACTAATGTGAGAGCTCGATGAGATAAGAAAAAAGCCACCCATACAAGACTTCTCACATCAGAAATCCCAGGAACAAGCTAATGGTGACTAAACTGGGAGGGGGGGCTAGCTCATTCATCTTTGTGGCTCACAGTCTGGGTTTCAGCAGGTGTGAGTGCTCATCTCAGAATTAGGTTAGCCTTACCTTGATTTGAGTTTTTGGAGATGAGCACTGGAATAGGATCAAACTCGTCGTCATTGCCCTTCTCCCCACACGACATGAGGAAAGCAGAGTCTGTGGTGAAGGAAGAGGAAGTGAAGTAACGATGGAAGCGGGAAGAGGTTAACTCGGCCAACGAAAAGAGCAGGAAATAAAAAAAGAAGGAGAAGAAAAGAAAGGAGGATGCGAGTAGATTATAAACGGAAGCAGCCAGGGCAGTCAAAGTTTTTAAAAGCCATTCAGTTTTACATGGCTTTTAGCATCTTCTACAAATGAGTCAAGGGTCTGGCGAGGCTGTCATTTAGTGTCCAATTCAATTTCCACTTTTGCTTTTTACTGTTTCAACAGGCCTTTCTATTGTGTGGTTGATCAGGGGTCTGCAATTGTGTTGCCACAAACACTGAAACCCCGAAACCCCGCCCCCCCCACACACGCACGCGGAAAATAAAAGGTCTTACCAGAAGCAGTCTGACCAGCTGGCAGCTCCTCCAGGCAGGATCCAGCGCCAGGAGGAGCAGAGGAGCAAGAAGAAGGGAGAACAGAAACAGATGGGTTTCCATGACAGGTATGAGATAACAGATCACAACCCAGCAGAGAATCCTCCCCAGTGAGAGAATCTGAGACAGCGGCCAGAGAAAGAAAGGGTATGAGAAAGTAAGACTGTTAGTGCAAGGAGCAGAAAAAGATGCATTGTATTACTATAACAGCTTATATGTGCAAGCATAAAGAGTTTAAAAGCTATGTTAGCTTCATTTAATAACAAACAATAAAAAGAGGCGTCTCTTTTTCAATGATTGAGCACAATTTTTATTTCTATAGCACTTTTCAAGATAAACGTGGCAAAGTGGGTCACAGAAAAATGCAAGCAGATCTCACTGAATAGACCACTTAACACCCTAAAGCTTAAGCAGGTTATGGTCCATATAACTGAACCATCCTAAAGCAACTGTTCTAGTTATAGACCAAAATGATTGTGATCTGGAACTAAGGCTGTGCGATATGACCAAAATCTCATATCCTGATATAAAAATTCTATCGTCCTGATAACGATATAAATCACAAAAATGTAACATTTTCTGTAAAATCTGTGAATCTCGGGCAGCTCGTCTTGCGGGAAGTGTTTCCAGCTGCGCGTCATGTAGCTGGAGTCGAGTGTTTTAACCGATGCATGAAACTACACATTTTTAGACATAAGTTGTAACAGCCGCCGTTTTCTTTGTGAGTATTTATTACACGGCGTGCTGCAGAGAAAAGCCGGTTCTAACGTTTGATGCTAAGGTTTATTTTTTAGCACCTGGCGGCTCTTTTTTAAATTCTCATCCGTAAATAATCTGCTCTTTCACGTGATTCAGTTTATTTTGAAAAGTCTCAACAGGATCTTGAGCTTTATTGTGAAAGGTTTATGTGGAACATAAACAAGCGGACACGCGATGCTGTTACCGTCGTTGTTGCTAACCACAAGCAGGCGCTTGTCCGTCTTTAGTGTGGTTATATAAAATATAAGAGAAAGAGAGAACTTTAAGAAATTAATATAGCCACTACAAGGACCATCAAAACGATGAAAAATATTGCCGTAAACAGTTTATTTTGTGACACGAACAACCCTACCTGGAACACCAGCAAATGTTTGAGTTAATATAAATCAATAAAACTACATCTTAGGATTGTCGCAGAACCTGAACTTAGTTAACCTTGGGTAAAACAGTGATCGGAAAAAGTGCTATTCTGAGGTCCAGGATGCTAACCTGGCACACTGGCAGGAATGAGCTCTGGCTGGCCCAAATGTCTCTGGGGCTGGGGAGCCTCCAAACCAGGAATCAGTGAGTCCACACACACCTCTGCCTTTACTACATAAACACAACGTAAAACAGTAATACAAAGACGTTATTAGTAGTACAGAAAAGAAAGAAGAACATCTTCTTTGTTCCTTTCCCAGATGATATGCCTGACTTTGTAAGGATGTTAGAGAAAAGAAAGGGAAGGAAGACACATGCAGAGCAAATAAGGAATTTTTGGGGGCAACGCATGGGACAAGAACATAGCTGGTACCATTTGTGGTGCTCTCTGCAGCAGTATTGAAGGAGTCAGTCAGGGTTAAGAGGTCAGGGAGCAGAAGAGAAGTATCAGGGGACTTCTGTCCCTCAATCAGCTTCTCTGTGAGTGAGCCAGAGAAAGAAGAGGGAGAAGAGAAAGGGACAGATGGCAACAGAGAAAAAGGCAATGAGAGAGGATTTTCCATAGAAATGACAAAGAAGCAGAGAAACTACACTTTGCGATGGTGCATGATGGCAAAAATCAACAAGGACAAATGCATCCATCTGCCTTCATGGTCAGCATTTTTAGAAGCAAGATTCATCCAGCAGACAGTAAGAAAAAAAATTAAGGATATCATGTAAATTTTGAGGTACTTTCACATCAATATAATAAAATTAATGAATCATTTGTTAGTTTATATCAGGGTTGTCAAACATAAGGCCCTGGGGCCAAAAAAAGCCAAGCAAAGACTCCAATCAACTGCCTCTGGAAGATATAAGGAACAGCATAAATGTTTTGACTTTTAAATGTGTTTTAATGAGTTTTGCAGCTTTTCCTACAGATAGAGATCTGAGTCATGACTAGTCATACTATACAAAAGAAATAAATTTTACTAATTGATTGCAGATTTTAAACATTTCTTATTTATTTGGTCAAAGTGAGCTGTACGTGGCACACAACGTGAAATGAGTTTGACATCCCTGGGTTATAGTTCCTTCCTCAATAGCATTCAGTTGCCAAAAAAAGTTAAATTATGGCAGCAGATCTTTAATGCAGAAAACATTTCTCATGCTCTTTCACACCTTCAAAAACTTCAAGTTAAAGCAACCAATGAAGACCTTTCTTTTTATTTTCCACAACATTTTCAGCTCATTTTTGGAGCAGTGCACAAAAAAACAAAACAAAACCCATGATGTTGTTAAGTTGTCGCTACCAAAACAAATAAGATCAGATTTTACTAAGTACTAAGTGTGCTGCATGCATGAAGTGTATTTCTATTTATTATAGTATAAGTGTATTTCATGCAGTTACTAATTTTTCACTGCAGCCTTATACTCACAGGAAACTGCTATGGGGCAAAGAAAGGGTTGGGGGGGGGCATCTAGGACAAGGAATGTGTTGGCTCAGAAAATGGCACAGCAGATGTGACCTTCTGACCCCTTCGCTATAGGAAAGACGCCAACGCTGGTGAAAAGCTTTTCGCAAATCCTAAATGTCAAACGTTTGATTTTCACAGGGAACAGTGAAAATATGCAGTTTTAAAATGCTACATACAGTATGTTTTACATGCTGTTGCACTCTTGCCACAAGGCTGTTTTCACGTTATCTCAGATGGGATGTTGTGCTTCTTTAGCAGAAGTCAGAGTGTGTTTGCTTGTGTGCATTCTATCTCAGTAAGGGATCCAAAGAGTCAGAGAGATAGCTTAGGCTGGACAGAGAAGATTACCCACACCCTTATTACATAACGTTTTTATCCTCTCAGTTCAGGCCTTAAACAGTATGTAAACAAGAAAAAAAAAGGTAAAGAGGCATGAAGCATACACTTCCAGAAGCACTCAAGACTAAACAGAGAAAAAATAAAAAGCTGGACCGTCATTTCAACAGGAGAGTGTGCTTAGCTTTCTCTTGTTCCTAGCAGCACTGGTAAGCAGGCTCCACTAGTAGTAAAGCAATCCAATTAACAAAGGAGAATTTGTCCTTCGCGTTACCAGGCAACAGAGAAGGAGAAAGCACAGACCTGCAAATGAGATGCGATCTAGCTGTAGCAACACTGTCTATTCATGAACGCTGACAAGAAGCCACTGTGAGGCTGCTCGCTAAGTCAACAAGGTAGAACTGTGTACTAATCCAAACCACAAAAACTGGCACTTGGAAGCTAACCTGTGGATGGTGTGAAAGCCAAGAAACTACCTGAGCAAATACAAAGTCACTCATGAGGTATATTTGCTAAGAGTCCAGGAGAATCAAAGGGATGGCTCGTTGTGCGTCCTGGTGTGACCACAATATTATAGAGTGAGAGGCAGTTAAAAGGGTCTGAGAGACAATAGTGCTGACGCTACACTTGGTGATGGCTATAGATCAATACTGCACAGTGGACTCTAAAAATTGAGACAGCAACATATAGAGCAGCTATAACCTACACAACAGAAATTTTCTAATAATATGCAAGAAAATAGGGATGCTTACTCAAAGTCAGTGCTTGGAATCATCAGTTGAAGATCTGCAGTTTAAAGCTGATACTCTGACTTGACTATTTGCCTGCTTACAACAAGCGCAAGCCTCTAGGGCTGTCCTGGACACTGGCTTTAGTAGTATCAACAGCTAATACTTGAATATTTCAATATTAATTGCGGACGCTTTTCCTACAATGGATGCATATAGATGTAACAATAAAAAAAAAAAACAATCACCATGCAAATAAGATTAAGATGATGGCTGCGCTGTGATTTCTGATGGTTATAAACTGTTTTCTTTTAATAGAAGTACACAAGCCCACAGACAAATCCTTATGATAGATTAACATTATACGCATATACTCAATCACTGAGACAAATCCAGCTGGTTCAGAAGCATCCTTTACAAAGCTGTCAGAGGCATACTGAGAAAAGCTAAACAAAGACTTACCTGGAAAGGCATTGAGGCTGGGAATGAGATTTTCATTGGATCCCGCAGCTTTCTCTCCAGCTGCAGCAGCTGTGCACAAGCCAAAGGAGGAGAAAAAACAAACAGGTTTTAGATCATGGAATGATTCACTAATGCTGTGTGTGAACAAACTGAACTTACTCTCAGCTAGCTTTGCAAAGTCTTTGTTAAGAAGCTCCTCTGCTGTTAGCTTAGAGAAGTTATCGTCGCCAAAAGGATTCCAGGCGGGCTGAGTGTGGGGGACAGTGAGTGCTGAGGAGGCGTCCCCGTCACCTGGATGGTATACACTCTGTTGGGACGAGCAGGGGGACCCAGAAGGAGTAGTGCTTGCTGATCTGCAGTACAAAGATAAATATAAAAGACAGTAGGAGCACACAGTGAAACTACACAAAGGCTGTTAAGTCAATGCACACTGGCCTCCTGATGTATGCGGTAGTAAGGAGAGAGAATGAACAGTTATTTAAAGACTGAAGTGAGATATTCTCGGGGATCTAAAAGAGTTATTTGTCCTCTTTCTGGGTGCTGTGATATGAATGGACTGTCTATTGCACGTCGATCTTCACTCAGTGTCATGAAAGAACAGTTCATCCTCAGATCACTGAGGGGAGTTCATTCTGCTCACTTGGACTTGTTGAGGCTGGCTTCAGCTGCGGCTGCCTGAAGTAGCTGGGTCGACTTGCTAACGGGGACCCCAAACACGGCACTGTGGGTGACATCACTAAGGATACGTCTGTGGCCACTCTTGGTGGCCGTCTTTGGCGAGGAGGGGGGTGTCAGGGAGCCAACTTTGTGGATCCCTCTGCCAGTCGTCTGCAATGAGAAAAAAAATGATGCAGAGGGGTGAAAATGTGTTAGTAACTAAAACCTTTTCTCTATGGTACTGTTCAAAAGTCTAGAGTCTTTTCTTTATATTTTTCTAGAAAAATAGTAGAAGTTCCTGTGGTCTATAGAAACACGTGCAAACATACACGGAAAAAAATTATATAGAAGCAGAAACAGAGTTTGTACAATTCTAAACAGCTTGAAAGTCAATATTTGGTATGACCACCTTTATTCTTCAACACAGCCTGAACTCTGCTAGATAAGCTTTCTTGTAATTTCTGGTCTTTAGAAGTATTTCTCCAGTTTCTTGAAGGACAATTAAAGCTCTTCATTTTTCAAAGAGTCAGCTCAAAAACAAATGGTATGTTTTTGCAATAGGCTACTGTAACAAAGTGCCTAAAGATACAATTTAAAATTGGTTCTGCTCATAAAAGCCAAGCTGTCTTAAGTGTAGATACAACACTGGTTCATCTATTGAGTTAGCTGCCTTTTCTATGTTTGAACAATTCAAAGGTCAGTATTCCTCTGAAATGGTCAGATACAAGTACTGGACTAAAAATGAGTGAAAAAGGCCAATGTCCAAAGAAAAACTTTAAAAGTCCTTCATAAAGCCTGGAGAACTATTGCTCAGGACCACTTAAAAATTACATGCAAGTCTGGCTGCTTGGAAGCAAAACATAAAGAAAAAACTGAAGACTTTTGCACAGTTCAGTATTATTAAATAAATAAATAAATAAATAAATGAACCAGATACAAACATTAGAACAAGTAAGAGCAACTGGAAAAGAAAATTGATCAAAGAGATTGAAGATTGCTCCAAACTACAACTCTATGAAAACAGGAAACATTTACAGGAGAGGAAAACATGAAACAGTCTGACAGAAACTCATGAAAATTCTATACATTATACATTCAGTAAAAATGGAATGAGATTTTTCGAATATTTTGCCACCGAGAAGAGGAAAAAGTGAGCAAAAGTCTGGATGTGATTCGTTAGAGACGAGCCAATAATCAGCCCCGACCCAAAGAGTAGCAGACAGCAGCAGGAGTAGGACGTTACCACAAACTCTGGACCACGAGCTGCAGGACCAACAACTGCGGACTCGGGGATGGGTGTGAGATGGGCAGCTGCAGTTTCAAGGACTAAATGCTGCTGCTGTTGGTGTTGATGCTGCAGGGTAACAACTTGAGGAACAGGTTTATATTGCAGCAGACTGGATGCTTGTGATGATGTTTGTTGTTGCTGAAGTTGGTGGTGGTAGAGGTTCTGTACCAGGTGATGCTACACAGGAACACCACACAGCTGACCGTGAGCAAGGTAAACTGTGGCCCAACTGAAATATTTTCTGTTATGTATTGCAAAACTAAACAAGATTAATTTTTTCTGTTCTGCTTCACCAGCAAACAACATGAACGCACGGAAGAAAACCTACAACAAATCTATAAAAATATGGAAATATTTGTTGCAGCTCATAATAAAGTGGGAATCTCAAAGGGTTTATTTGAACAAATGTCTGTTAAATTGACATTTATTGATAAATGAGGTAACAGAATGGGAATTTAACAGTTTTCTGAGGAATGATTCCTAATAAGTAAATATGTAATTTTGCAGTACAAATGCAACGAGTTTGTCTGTAAGCTTAGCAGTTCACACTATCATTCCTCAAGAACGTGTCAACGAAACACGTCAACAGGCGTGTACTAAGAAAGAAAGTTCAGCATAGCCAAGATTTTCTTTTCCTGTTAGCTGGCTTGATGAAACCTAACAATCCAGTCTGAGACAACAGGTATGATGGTAGTGGTTATTAACTTTCTTTGTTAACCTAGGCTTGCTTCAGGTGCCAAGAGGGCAGCTGACATGTCATTTGATACTTCCTCCACACAAAACAAATGACTTAGCTCCACCTACTCTGATCAGAAACATTATCAGAGGAACAGGTAGTAGAGATCTAGAAAAAGAATTTAAAATACACCTCCTATTGCTGCAAATAAGACAAGCGAGCAGTGATGGCAGAAAATCATCAATCGCAAGCTCTCCGAGCACTAAAATAAAGTGAGGTGTATCAAAAAGAATCATCTTATTTCAAAAAGCTATCATTTTAAAGTGACAGTAATTGAAATAATGGACATAGAAGCTTGTGGTAAATTTTTAAAGTACATGGCTGAATATTAAGTTTTACAAACAAGACAATGTTAACAAGTTCTCAATGTGTCCCCCTCCAGACACACATGTCTCCATAATACTCAAACTTGCCACTGCTGCTGTTATGCTACAGACCAGCAACCACGTGACACTCACGAATCTCCTATTTCTAATAATAGGCATTTCCACTGTTACTGGAGAATGGGGAATAAAACCACTTTAAAATCAGACTATTCTTTTTGACACACCCTGTATAAATGCTGTTTATTTCCAACTGCACATTAGGGTTTCGAAACTTGAAGTTTTACCAAAATTCAGACCAAAATTAAACCAAAACTCTGAAGAGAACCTGCGCAGGAATAGGTTGTGTGTTCAGCATCAGTTACTATGGTGATCTAGTTAGGCAAAAGTAGAGACATTGTCATAACACTGAAAATTTGTTGACAGCAGATCTAGTTAAAATCTTACAAGAATGAATGGAAAAGGAAGCTACAGTAAGCAGGTTAAATAAAGAGCTGCAAACAGCACATTTCCTGCCTCTCAGCCAGGTAACTTCCTCCAACCCTTTCACTGAGGTGTGGTGCTAGCAGTCTCATGCTATGTGCAGCATGAGAATCAAATCACAATATCTCACAGAATGAATGAAAATTACACTTACTGCCTGTCAACTAATTCTTTATTTTCTCATTGTTATTTCTTTATTCATCTGGGGAAAAGACGGCATCCATAAGTGTTTTATTTGGGAAGTACAGTTGCTGTTGGCCCTGGTTCTTCCTATCTGTAACATAAGACACACTATTACAGGATTCCTTAATATCATTCAGCTCCTTCTCAAGATCGGATCTTGACTGATGCCAGCTTCTATATATTACAGATTTCTACATATTACAGGACTACAGATTGTGACAACAGTCCTCCTCCAGCTCTGGAGATCCATTGCAACATAAAAGCCTGAATGTGGAGCAGGTGGAGAAGTGTTTCATGTTGCACTACGACAAGTTCACAAATCCTAGAGAGCAGAACAAGGACCACCATTGCCAGCTGCAGTGTAAGAAACTAGAAGTGGAGTTCATCTACAGGATGAGGCATTAGATTATATTTATAAAGTATTTGTATAGGACAAACCTATAGGAAGTATGTGACTGTACGCATAAACACCCCTCTCGCACCATGAACACAATCTAATTGGTAAGAAACCAAATCAAACCAGGCCTGAAACCTTTGAGATTACCACCTTAAGACTGGGAGCAGTGTAAATGTGTAGCTTTGGCTTGAAACACACACACACACACCAGTGATGAACATAATCATGTTGAATTTAAGCTTCACTGAAACTAAACAGAGCTCTTAAAACTGATTTTGAACAACAAACAGGGCAGCTCAGCCAAAAAACAATATCACTAAAATCCACAGAAATCAAAATAGTTCATCGTGCAAAACACAGACAGCCCACACCTGAAGTTTGTATTTTCAAGTGTGTCTCATTATCAAGCCCAAACCCTTTGCGTGGTATCACACTCTTCTTGTTATTGCTTGCACAGTGAATATGCATTTTATGAAAAATCCCTGATGCTGTTGATTCTTTGAAAACAAAGGCATTAAAATGTCTCACCACGCGTGCACAGCATTATTCAATGTCATCCATGAAACAGCACACATTGCAGCTAATCACCATTTCCATTCTTGCTCTAACAGTCTTCCTACCTGCTGAGTGCTCTGTGGGCTTAAGAAGGCAGAGCCTTGCTGCTGCTGCTGCTTCATAAGCAGCTGCTGATGCTGAGATGTAGCCTGCGGCTGCATGTTAGCAGACGGAGCCTGTTGAGCAGGTTGGACAGCAGCTGAAGCTGGAGGAGGGACACTGATACCGACACCTGTAAGGGAAGTTAATACGATATATGAGAAAATTATAAAAGTATTCTTGATCATCAAATACGACACAGCTTCTTTTTGTGCAGATTCTTACATAAACCAGCTATCATCCACACAAACATTGTTGTGCAAGTGAGTGAGAAAATCTTAAATCACCTCACTCTCGAGTTATTGGATTCACAAACTTGGGTATATACGCCGCCCGCCCCCACAGTGGGGTGACACAACACCCCATCAGCCTTTTTATGGCTGAGGGGCAAAAACTAATTGGACCGATACCAATCAAAAGAATGACTTTGAACAACACATAAAGAAATGTGAGGGTGAATCATGCCACCATCTATTCTGTCTCTGCAAGTTGACCAGAAGGGACTTTAAATAAAAACTAAAAGCCTTTAAAGAGCAGACTAAACCAATAGGAACACAGCATATAAATATATAGTGAATTATAGTGAAATTCTCGAGGGATTCATGAACCAAAAGTAATTCAACATAAGTAGTGTTATTACCAGGGTAACAGTCATCATAAATCCAGGCTTTGATCACAATGGTTTTAACCCTGACATATAGAGAGAATCATAGTTTAAACAGCTCCTTGTACCTATAGCCTGGGGTGCCCCAGTAGCCACACCAGGCCTCTTGCGTGGGGTGAGTGCTGGCTGGATGGGAAGAATGCCTGATATGGGCTGGGGCTGAGCCTGGCCAGCTTTGGGCCGCTGTCGAGGGGCAATTGAGGTTTCCATTGTAGGAACTGGGTCTGTGAGCCTGATGGAAGAAGAAGAAAACTCTGCAGAGTAACGCAAAGTTTCTTATGACAATAATATTAATAAAAATAACACACACGCTTTGCTTCTCACTCACCTGGCTTTGTTTTGACTCTTTTTGGCCACTGCTTCACTCGCTTTGATAGGCTCAGGAAGTTTTGCAGGAATAGGAGAATTCTGCAGAGGAGAAAAGATTTATCAAAAATGATCAAATCTTTTCACATTTTTGATTAGTATTTTCCATAAATGTATAATTGTTTTGTGCTTTGTTATTACTAAGAGCCTAGTGACAAAATCTGTACTGTCATTAATATCACTGTGTCCTAGATAGCCGTTTCTAGCTAGCTAGGAAACTCAAACTCCAGCACACGAGATGTAAAATCAAAGACATGTAGTAACAAAAAGAAAATCTAAGTAACTGCTGAGCACACACATATTTTCATCTAATACTCCCACTATTGCTCTCGCCGTGATGACTCACATGTAGATTTGGGACGGGACACTCTCGTCGAGCCAGTTTAAAGGCAAAGTAGGATACTTGGTAAATGTCTGGCCTCTTTTCAGGATCAGGTTCCAGCATGTATCCTGAGACACAAAAAATATTCTGAGTTAATTTGCATTTAAATTTAACTGCACCTAGACTACACATATTCAGAAAGCAGAACGGTCGCATGATCTAAGCAAATAGAGTACTTACTAATAAGACAGTGCATTTCATGTGAGTAGCGGGAGTTGTCTGGGATGGTGAAACTGCCATCACAGATAGCCACTTGGCTCTCGCCGAATGGAAGGGTGAAGTAGCACAGCTTATAGAGAAGACAACCCAAGGCCTGTGCAGACAAGGAAATGAACACATATAAAAACATATACTCTGTATGACGTCATAGTAGTTAGATAATATTTTTAAGTTAGCCTCACCCAAATGTCTGCTTTTGTTGTGATGACATTTCCCCCATAGAGGTTGACCATCTCTGGAGCACGGTATGACAGCGTAGTATACCTGCAGTAGCAGTAATGTATGAGAACAGACCAATGAGCTTCTGAAATATAGGGAGAAAAAAGGGTAGATGGTACATCAAGAGGAAAAAACCCCAACAACTAACTTTTTGATTTCATCCTCTAAAACTGCCACCCCTTCTGTCTGTGGATTTTGGAAGTGGTTGGTGGCACTTCCAAAGTCACAGAGCACATAGTGTCCCCGGTCATGAAGAAGAATATTTTCCACCTATGTGTGGAAGACAAGATAAGACTTGTGAGATGTGATGTACAGTGAAACAAACGCAAAAAACAAACAAACAAAAAATATTCCAAATTACTAGTGTGATAATTCATTAGCTAGATCTGTGCTGTCAGTAGTATTCGCATACAGAAAATGTATTAGGCTTGCCTTGAGATCTCGATGGATGATTGGAGTCTTGCACTGATGTAGACGAGCGACTGCCTCGCACGTGTCACAAAAGATCTGTAACACCTCAGCTTCAGTGAAGCCCGTCTGTAGCCGCTGGTTCATTAGGTTCACCACCTGGCCACCTAAATGAAAAAAAATTAGTCAATAAAAATACAAATTCCTTTTTTTTATGTTATTATTTAAAGTTTCTAGGTAATATTTAAGGCTCAAATATAAGTTTACTCTGATCTAAAATAAATGACAAAAACATACATTAATCTTTATCATTCACATGACACTTCAAAGCGGTCAGCTTTTACATAAGAGAAAAAAGTAAAGAGGGCATCATGAATGTATTGCTTTAACACATTAACATTACTGTTTATAGCATAACAAAATTAATACATTTTCGACACTACACAATTTAAAAACCCTAACGATGCTCACAACTGCACAGGCATGTTAACATTTTATCTTTCTACAAATGACACAGCTAAGTTAAGCACCGAGTAAAACACAAGTTCTATTGACCACGACAGCTATCAGCTGAACATTTGCCTTTGGAAGAAAAGAAAAGAAAGGATGCTGTAAGAGCCGAGGGTAATGGAGCTTTGAATTCAGAGATAGAAAGGCATGGGGAGGGGGTTGGGCGATTTACCTCGACAGAAGTCCATTAAGATCAGGACTTCCCACACATCACCAGCTCCGACTGCAGTTATGCTGGAGTCCAGGAAGCAGACTATGTTTTTGTTACCCACCAGGTCCCTCTGTGTAAACAAACAGAGAGAAACAGGAATGATGAACAACAAGAGAGGCAATTTTCAAATATCATGCAGTCCTAAAAAACTTTATTTGATAGATCAAAAAATACATCAATATTTGTAAATTCTCAGTTTAATTTTAACTGCCAAAGGACTTAAAGTAATGATGATAAAATCATCTGATAAGCATGTCACCAGGGAGTGGCTACAGGAACTGGTTTGTTTCACTTACAGTTAGGAAACGGACATGCAACTGAGCTTACAAGGCAACATTTTAAACAGAACTTCATGTTCTAAAATGGAACTAATTACAATCCTGAGTGCTGCTTTGTTATCACCACTTGACACAAGTCAAATAGTGTTTTTGCATAACTTTTTTTTTTTTTAAATTCGGGCATTCTGGGTTGTTCATATTAGAGATGGCACGATACCACTTTTTTATGTCCGATACCGATACCGATATCATAAATTTGGATATCTGCCGATACCGATATGAATCCGATATAGTGTGTTTTTTAATCAACAAAACTGTTTTTTAAATATCTTGCTGCATTTTGTATAAGTTCATACTCAAGTTTAAAACAAC